GGAAAACGTCGCGAGATTCTCTAGTTACCGATCGCGATAGGGGATCGTTCGATCGGAACGCGCGAACGACGAAGAAAATCGATTCGGCTCGGCTCGACTCGACTCGGCGCGCAACCGTGAAACGATAGAGCGGCGCGAAGCGGGTTGCAACAGGTACATCCATGGAACTCTGCTCCCTATCGTTGGCCGATCGAAACGACCGATACTTTGATTTCCTGCGAGGGGATCCTGCTCTTCGATCACCCATCGAATCGTCCCTTGGCGAGCAATTTTCACTCGATTTCCGGTAACTACGGTACCGTCCGAGGCTGCCGAACCCTTGGACTGCAGCGATCAGGTAATTCTAACTACCCGCGTCCAAATCGTCGCCCGATCACTGAATTTTCGACAATTTAACCCGTGTATTCAATAAAATGTGTAAAGTTTCAAACTTTGTGTGTGTTTCTCTCTTGCTAAAAAGTTGTCTCTATAGCGCGAAGGTGTCGATTGTAAAAATTTTCGTTGATTTATTCGAGCATGAGCCGAGGATCGGTCGGATAGAACCGCGACGAAAAATCGTCCAGTCGCGTGTACACGAGGATGGAGGTTTCTGGCACAGATCCTGTTCATATTTCAAGATCCTATTCCACCGGTGTACCTTGGAAAAGGGGTCTTCAACGACCCCCGCCGCGAAAAGCGAAAAGAAGGACAAACAACCATTTTGCTGTAACGCGATATGTCACGTTGCCGGGGGTCTTCCCAACTCCTCGTTTTCTGTGGAAGCTAAAAAGGGGGTGGGACGAGGCTGTAGCCTAAAGGGAAACGAAGTTAGACTTTTTTTGTGTCACCGATTTAATCCCGTTCCTTCTTCTCCTCTAAGGAGAGGGTGTGTGTGTGTGTGTGTGTGTGTGTGTGTGTGTGTGTGTGTGTGTGTGTGTGTGTGTGTGTGTGTGTGTGTGTGTGTGTGTGTGTGTGTGTGTGTGTGTGTGTGTGTGTGTGTGTGTGTGTGTGTGTGTGTGTGTGTGTGTGTGTGTGTGTGTGTGTGTGTGTGTGTGTGTGTGTGTGTGTGTGTGTGTGTGTGTGTGTGTGTGTGTGTGTGTGTGTGTGTGTGTGTGTGTGTGTGTGTGTGTGTGTGTGTGTGTGTGTGTGTGTGTGTGTGTGTGTGTGTGTGTGTGTGTGTGTGTGTGTGTGTGTGTGTGTGTGTGTGTGTGTGTGTGTGTGTGTGTGTGTGTGTGTGTGTGTGTGTGTGTGTGTGTGTGTGTGTGTGTGTGTGTGTGTGTGTGTGTGTGTGTGTGTGTGTGTGTGTGTGTGTGTGTGTGTGTGTGTGTGTGTGTGTGTGTGTGTGTGTGTGTGTGTGTGTGTGTGTGTGTGTGTGTCTTACAGAGCATCAAGGGTTCCGAACTTCTTACAAGTCGGCCTTTAAATTACGCGTCCGATAACAAGAACGACTAGTCGCGGCCGTGTTAACCGATTTTCCGAGAAGCTTCAACCTCTTATCAGCTTGCAACGCTTTATTTCGTTTTACCCGAATGCTTGCGACTTTTTAAAACGTTTCTCGATACTTGTTCAGAATTTAAGCTTGTTTTGGAAACACTGCTACACAACGAACAAGGTCCTTCCGCGTTTGCTGTAAGAAACATTCTTAATAGAGTCAATGTTTCTCTCGTCGCAATATTCGCAAAATAATCTATGAAAAATTGAATCTGTGTAAAGATCCACAACTAGGTTATCACCCAACGCAACGAATCTTCTCTCGATACGATGAAATTCAACTTACGATACGAATTACGAATACTCGACAAAGAAAACGATCTTGTCTTACCAACGGTGAAATCGTTGACCGATCCGAGCTAGCAAAAAGTTCGATGTCGCTTGGGGGGCGAGGTGAAAACAAGAGAACGATTGTCCCAGCGAGGGAGGCACATAGTTGACCGAGCACGCGATCGTTGGACGCGACGCGAAACGTCTCAATCGTCTTAGCCGCGTTCGACCCGCTGAACAATCGTTCGTTTTCCTTCGACTAATCCTGCACCGATCCGTCCGTTTCAGCCAAAGGTTTTGCAAGGGCGATCGACCGGCCTGATCCCGCCCATTTACGCGATTTTGACTGCCTTTCGCAGAAATCGCAGAGGAGTCCGAGCCCCGGGTTAGATGTAAACTTGCCACGAATTTAAGTAGCGCGAAACTTTCTCACGATTACGAGAGGATGGAAGAACGTGCCGATCGCAAAGGGCTCAAGATTGTTTGCAGCAGTTCGTGGCAGAGAGAGAGAGAGAGAGAGAGAGAGAGAGAGAGAGAAAACTTGCTTTATTACGTCCAAAGTTTTTACGATCTCACCTGTGGGAGCCATCTTTGCGATCCGAACGACTGCCTCGCGACCGGATGAAAACGGGAACCTCGCCTAGGCGGGACGACGATAGATTTCCTCCTCGAGACCGATATTCCCGGGCTTAATTCACCGTGGTAACGGTAATTCGATGCCGACTGATTTCCCAAGCATCCCGACCATCCCAACGATCCCGAATCTCGACCAAACTCAGCGCAGATATCCGGGTTGCGCGGATTAGCCCCGCACCCTTCGAGCTCGGAGCTTCGACCTTCGACCTTCGACCCAACAGCCCCAGAAAACCCGAAACCGGGTTAAGGAAATTGCGTAACCGAGCGGGGATCGTTTCGATTGAAATTCCCGTCGACCCGACCAATCGAATTTCTTGCTGAGTTTTCGTATCCCATCCGGCTTCTCGACTCCAGCGTCGAGTAGCCCATAGATCCGTCGATGGATTCGAAAGTTCGCCTCCTCGCCTTTCGACTTGGAAGATTCCCGAGACCGCGCGAGGTCTATCCTCGACTAGGATTTATCGGAACGGCGTTCCATTTAGGCTTCGGAGGATGTCCTGCCGCCCATCCTCGACGCCCTTGGTCCGTTCTGCCTTGATGCGAAATTTACAGGCGCAACGTGCGCCTATTACGGTGATTTCGATGCTCACCGAAGACGAGTCGCGCGCCCGCCGTCTCTCCATCCATCGTTCTCGGTAAAAGGATCTTCGATAAACTCCGAGGAACTGCCTAAATCGTTTCCGGTCTCCCGGAGGCGTCTGAAATCCCCCGAAATTCTGCTTCTTCTTTGCCAAGTATCCGAACATTTCGGACTATCGATTTAACAAATTTTCGTAAAACGCGCATTCGATTTATGTCGTGTTCGAGCTTACGTTACAATTATAAGAGTAGCTGTCTCTCTTGCCTGTTTCTCTCGATACTAAAGGAAACGACGTTACAAGCCCGTTATTAACGGAGATTCGATTTCTATTTGATCGGCGAGCATTCGTAAGCCAGAAACCGATCGTTGTCGCAAGGAAATCGATCGCTCCAGTGCGCCAGAATTTCAGATAGAATTTCCCGATGGTCGTTGATCGAATAGAAAATACGTTTTCCAGCGCAGTCTCGCTCGGCATTTTCCCGGGCCGCTTTTCGCTTCTCGGTAAATTCTGCCGATCGCTCCTCTCGCTCGGAGTCGACGCGCCGTCGTTCGGACGAGAACCAGGAAGCTCCGATATACGGGCACTTTGCAAAAATTTCCATTAATTCTCTCCCCTTTGTTTTTCATGCAAATATTTGGACGATCGATCGGACCAACGGCTGCATACCGATCGAGCTTTTGCTGCCCGTTCCTTGTCGTGCCGCGCCGCGAAGCGATGCGCGAGCGATGGAGAAAAAAATCAAAAACTCGCGATATTTTTCTTCTTTTTAAGACATAATCGTAATCCAAAGTGACAATCCATTGCGAGTCATCTGGATGCTAGTTCCTCCGATTAAAGCAAGCCTCCCCGATGCAGCTTCCTTCTTAGAATTCTTGCTTTTTGCAAGCTTCTCTTGCTCGCCTATCTCGTTCCATCGGAGATATTAATCTTGTCATCGACACGAGATTTCGCGGAACGACGAGAACTAGCGCCGCGGGTATTAATAAAGTTATCGACGTCGGCCAGTAACGATGTTTATTATCGGAGTGGCTCCCACTCCAGGCTTCCTTGGTTCATTCACGCCGCGCTTCGAATCGACAAATAGAGTTCTCTCTCTCTCTCGCTCTCTCTCGCTCTCGCTCTCTCTTTCCTCGTGTGTCCCGTTCTCGTTCCCGGTGTACTTGTTCTCCCGTTGTTTGTCGTCGAGAACTTTGCGAACTTGGTTGTCCGCGCGCTCTCACTGTATTAGCTTTTCCGGCGGCTTCGTAGCGTCCATTTCACCGCCGAGCCCGTGCCGCCGCACCCTGCTGCCGGAGGATCGATGCAGCCTCGTGACTTCGAACCAGCGACGAACCGAAAAAGAAAAGTAAAAATTTCTACCCAGTGCACTTTGCAACCTTTGATCCTCGATCGAGCATCGAAACGAAAGGATCGTTGCAAAAAGGAAAGCTTATCTCACCAATAGGTAACCGATTGCGTTCAACGAATCGGTGGACTGGCTTTAATAATAAACTGCAGGATCCAAGAGATAGCGGTACCGAAAGAAATCATTGATACGTATTTTCCCGAGGAAATCGTTTCCTGCTAGGATTTGCGCGAGAGCCGAGTTTCGATTGGGTCGTAGATCGATCGATGGGGACGAACAGCCTCGCGAGAAGCGTAATTTACCGTTCGATCGAGTCCAAATCGGATCGAATCGAATCGATTCGACCAACCGCGTCGCGATCGATATTCTTGTCAAGGGTTCGTTTCCTTTTCTGTTTTCGGCTGTCCAGTTCGGAATTCCAGGCGGTTACGTCCCCAACTTCCTTATTGATTTTCCCCGTCGTAACAGCAGGCGAAACAGCAGCACCTTCGCGTCCGGGCTGCCCTAAATCATCGGACAGCGATGCGTGAAAACGCGTTCTACCGTTTCATAATTCGCATCGAAAAGTTCTATGCTAAAATGTTACCTAGTTATCTGATATTATTTAGCCGCGATAACGACGCGCGCACTCTCCGAACGGATCTTATCCGGCAACAAAATCCGACGACACCTGTTTAAGTCTGGTTCGTTTTCCTCAGATGGACAAACGGTACCGACGCTATGCGAGCTTGCGGCACGTTGCGTGGCCTCGCACATCCCGTTCGAGCTGGTGGAGCACGTTTACCCGCCCGTGCCCGAGCAGCTCCAGCTCAGGATAGCTTTCTGGAGCTTCCCGGACAACGAGGAGGACATCAGATTGTACTCGTGCCTCGCCAATGGGAACGCGGACGAGTTCCAACGGGGAGAGTATCTCTTTCGGCAGAGGAGCGTCAAGGACACGCTGCAGATCGGTAAGTGGAACAACGCGAAATTTCTTTCACAGGATGGTCCCGGAGTCTCGGCTGCACTTTCACTTTGTTTCGCTCGGCCAGAAGCGATCGCGTAGATTCGTTCTACCAACGAGGAAACGCAGTTTCGAGAGCTTTCGCAGCTTCCCGCGAGAACCAGTCGTTGTGCTTCCGGAAGATAATTGGAAACCTGAGCCCATCGTTTCCCCGTCGTTTCCTCGCCGTTTACCCGCCGTTTACCCGTCGTCGATGTCGCAGAATCCTCTGTCCACTATAAACCGATGTTGAAACAAATTTAATGCCGGATCGATGAGAGGAAACAAGCGGAACGAAGCCTCTTCTCTCTCTCTCTCTCTCTCTCTCTCTCTCTCTCTCTCTCCCTCCCGCCCGCCCTCTCCCTCTCCCTCTCTCTCGGATCGATTAACGAATTCTCTTTGTCTGGAGAAATATATGTACTCGGTTGTCTTGCGACGCTTTTATTTCCGTAGAACCTAATTTCCGTGTAATTTCGTCGAGAAAAGACGTTCGCAAGACGTTTCGAGCCAGGTCGTTTTTCATCGGAATCAATCGTTTATTAATCGGTTTCCTTCGCGATCGCGGATTCTGGATTCCAGACTCGAACTGTACTTTCTATTATTTGTTGTTTGCCTCCGTCAGGGTTCCACCTGAGCGCCAGCGTGAACTCGCAGACACTGATGAACGGCGTTAGACCACAGTTCAACGTGGCCGTAACCTTCGATCGCCGAAAAATCACGTCTTGCACATGCACCTGCTCCTCGAAGGCTTATTGGTGCGCCCATGTGGTCGCCGTGTGCCTTCACAGGATACACATGGTAGGCAAAGATTATCGGAACATGGTATGTGCTGACATTTCTAAAAAAAATTGCAGCCGATGAGAGATTTTTCATCGGCAAGGAGGGAAAAAGGAAGGGATCTTTGCGCAACGTGAAAATTGTTCGCCATTGTTCTATGAACCGGGAGTTCGAGTTTTCTACCATCTTTGTTCAACTTAATTTCTTACCTTTGTTTTACCCCCACCGAACCTATATCGTACCGTTGAAAATGCTACTTTTATTCGAAACGATTGAAATTGCTGAGAGCGAAAAGGAAAAGTATTAAGGATAGAGGAGAAAGGGAAAAGTAAAATTGTCGGGAGGTTCTTTCGAATGAACGCGCGCGCTTGCTTCTCTATCGTTGTCGCTCCGAATTCTTGATAGGCTCCTCGCTTGTGTCTCCTAAACGATAAATCCGCCGTCTATAAATGCCTATAAACGAAAGAAGAGAACCGGAGGAATCGCGCCGTTCAACCGTTGAATCTCGTTCAGTCGACACAGGTCTGCCTGAGAGCTCCGGTAAGCGAGTCCTTGTCGCGACTGCACCGGGAGCAATTGCAGAAGTTTGCGCAGTATCTGATCAGCGAGCTACCGCAGCAGATCCTGCCGACGGCGCAGCGTCTTCTCGACGAGTTGCTGTCGGTGCAGCCGAGCACCATCAACAACTACTGCGGCGCGCCGGACCCGACAGCGGGACCGTCGGCTCACGACCAGACGTCGTGGTACCTGGACGAGAAGACGCTGCACGACAACATCCAGAAGATCGTGATCAAATTCTGCGTACCGGCCCCCATCGTGTTCAGCGACGTCAACTATTTGAGCACGACGGCGCCTCCGGCGGCAGCGGAATGGTCGTCGTTGCTGCGACCTCTGCGAGGGCGCGAGCCCGAAGGGATGTGGAACCTGTTGTCGATCGTTCGAGAGATGTTCAAGCGAACCGACCGCAACGCCATACCTCTGCTCGAGATCATCACCGAGGAGTGCATGGCCTGCGAGCAGATTCTGATCTGGTGGTTCAACACGAAGGTGTCGTTGCTGAACGGGACCGGTTACGGGGGCAAGAACAACATGAGCAGCACGGTGCACGCCTCCCAGCACGCGTGCTCGTCCCTCTGCGACGAGATCGTCGTTCTATGGAGGCTGGCCGCGCTGAATCCTGGCCTGTCGCCGGCCGAGCGGGAGATGCTTCACAATAGGTTCATCGCCTGGCACATGAAGATCATTGGCAAGGTAGATCGTTGGAGGAAGATCGTTGACAAGGTAGTCCCTTTGTACCTCTTTCCCGACAAGCCAGTTCCATTAGCAACGCTTCGGTTCTAGGTGACGAAGAGTCGAGGCAACTCGGTGTCCCACAATTCGCACAACAGAAACCACAGCGGCGGACACAAGGACTCGTTGAAGCACGACCTGGCTGTCTTCACCGGTTTCAAGTCTGCTCTGGAAGCCTGCTATCTGGACTGGGAGGAGTACACCCTGCCGGGTATCACCTACACCGCCGGAAGCAATCCCATGTATCATTGTCCGTTCACTTGCTTCCGGCGCCTCGGGGACCCCAGGAACGAGGTCAATCAGGTCAGTCCTGATCGGACCATGCGGAGCGACCCGACTCATCTTCCGTTACATCTCCCGATACACCTACGCTAGCGGACAAACCGTTCAGACGAAAATTTCGACGCAACCTATCCTGTGCGTGTGTATCTCCCCTATGAAATCGGCTCGGGCGACAAATCCAGATATCCGGCGCGACTATTCATCCAGATATCCAACTGTACTATTCGCCTTCTTTAAAGGACGGTCGAATCGAATAATCATCTCCAAAAGTTGACGACCTTTCTGTCCGCACCGGTCTGCTACGAACGCCCTGTGTCGCACCCTACCAACAGTTGTACGATAAGCGTACAATTGAAATTGAAATTGAAATTGAAATTGAAATTGAAATTGAAATTGAAATTGAAATTGAAATTGAAATTGAAATTCACATTCAAACTCAAATTCAAACACGTCGTCTAAATGTATGACCGCTAGCTACCGCATCATCCGTCTATCGTACGACCCGTCGATCGGGTCATACGATAGATGACCTATCGGCTATCTAGGATCGTTAAAGATTATCGTTATCGCTAGGTGAACTCGAGCGCAGCCGTGCTAAACTGTCAACCGCCGGTGTCTCATCACTACAGAAGACGGTCGTTGAGTCTGGGTTTGGTGGAGTTCGTAGACAGAAACGCACGGGACTTGACCAGTCTCTGCGAAAGAGGCGGAGGCGGAGGTGGTGGCGGCGATGGAAATCGAAGCAGCGTCAGCTCCGAGGGTTTCTGCGAGAACGAAACCGACATAGCCGACACGTTCGAGCCCCAAGTGGTCCTCTTCAACTGCGCTCATATGAATAGCTGCGCGGAGGACTGGCAGGTAGAGACAACGACGATTTAACGCGTCGACGCGTTCAAAATTCCAACGAACGTCCACGTTATCGAAGATGAAAGCCACGATGGATGGTGAAATTTTACCATGCTTTACCGCTTTTCTATTCCAAGGATCCTGTTAACAATTACCAAGCTAGTTAAATGGGATTAACCTCGCCCGCGCGCACGGTTTTCTCTAAACGCGGAATTGTTTCAGGAGGGCAGCGGCGGGAGCGGGGGCAGCGAGTCGTCGTCCAACAGCAACGAAAGCCTGAAGAACGCTCAAGATTCGGACAAGCACCGACCGATCGTCTCGTCCGAGACCCATAGCGATAGTAGCGACAGTAGCAATAACAAGGCAGAAGCGGACCTAAAGCGCAGCCGGGTGGTGAATCTCGAACACCGCGAGAAGTCGCGGGTAGCGTTGCCGAAGGGTGACAACGTCAAGGATAAGCAGGAGTCCGACCTGGAAAAGGATCCGTCCAGGAGACCGTCGAAGGATGAGAGTTCCTCGTCGAGCAGCGACAACCCATCCTGCGACGAGTACCACGTTTACTATTACGATCCCAAGGCCGTCGCGAGCACCAACGGCGCGAACAAGGACTTCAACAAGGACTCGGCGTCTTCGAGTACCCCGAGTGTCAGCACTATTCTGGGCAACCTGACGAAAACCGAGGATCCTTGGGACATTCTGTTCGCCAGGGCGGAAGGACTCTATGCTCACGGGCACACGCGGGAAGCTTGTATCTTGGGTGTGCAGCTCGGAGAAGAGCTGCTGGCCAATCCTCCTAATCTCATGATCAACGAGCCTCGCGCGCCCGTCAAAGGGAAGAAGAAGAAGGTGTGCGCCTCCTAGATGCGTTTTAATCTATCGGACGTGTATCGACCGGGGAATCGCTGACCGTACGTAACGTCTCTTGTTTCAGCAACAAGTGAACCCGGCGTCTCATCAGCTCACGTGCCTTGCGTCGGCCACTTTGGCAAAGTGCTGCTTTCTCTGCACGGTTCTAGCAGAAAATCCAGAATATCATAATCTGGCTTTCAGGGTGGGTCTGTTCGGTTTGGAGATGGCCAGGCCTCCCGCCAACACGAAACCTCTGGAGGTAAACGAGACCGCGTGCTCTCTCGATTGCTCTAGATCTTTACCGATCTTTGGAATTCTGTTTTTCCAGGTGAAATTGGCTCATCAGGAAAGCGAACTGGTAGGACTACTGAAGAGGATCCCGCTTGGTCCAACCGAATTGGCCATCGTCCGACAGAGAGCCGAACAACTGAGGGATGGGGTACTGAGGTCCAGAGGTCACGCGTTGCTCCCCCTGATGCTGGCCAGCTTCATATTCGACGCCCTGAACACGACAAGTACGAATAACTTTCCACCGTTTTCTTTCCGCTGGGATATCTGGTATCGATCCGATCGTTTTACCCGGGCATTGGGGAGTGGTACTCGCGCGTTCTGTTCAGGCCAGACGATAATTCTTTCAGACAAGAGAGAGTTAAAGTTTGAACGGTAGAGGCGGAGAATACAAAATTGTGGAATGATTCGCAGGAGTAAAACACCTGCCCACAGACGTTGACGAGAACCTCGGGTTCGACGCGGCCGTCACTGCTCTGGGGCTGAAGGCGAACGTGAGCGAGGCCGACCATCCACTGCTCTGCGAGGGCACTCGACGTCAAAGGTGTGCCAGCTTTTTTCAGCCTCGTCGATCGTGTCTCCGGACTGTTGTATCCCGAAACTGTTGACCAAAACTGTAACCGCGTTTTCTTTCCTCTTGCTCAGAGGGGACCTGGCCATCACGTTGCTCGTCCAGTACAAGTCCGATCCTAACAAGGTAGCCAGAATCATGAAGAAACTGCTGGATCCCGATGTTCATCAGCTGATCAAGTCACCCATTATTCCCATGTTCTATTACGTGCCCGGGGTGCCAATACCAAAAAACAGCGAGGTAATATAATTAGATCGCGACAAATTCCAACAAACTCGACGATCTCCGGGAACATTCGAATGTCAACGCTTTCGACTTTCGCTTCAGGCGGACAGACATCTTCCCGACGAAGAGTGTCACTCTCTTCCTCTCGGTGGCACGGACGCTGGCAACGGTGACAATGTCGTCGGCACCAGCAGCAGGCCGCACAGCAGCACCAGTGCAGAATTGGAAACCGGAATGAGCGCGTTGACGGTGCAACCGCAGATTGTTCAGCATACCGTGCCCACCAGGACAAAAGAGACAAGGTTATTTCTTCAGCCTCTGAAACTATATTCTCTTTTACCACTTTCCAGTTTTTGAATTCGACCAAATCGATCGCGCTTCGATTTTATAAACTCGGAGGTTGCGACCTGTGGCAGTGTGAGAAGGTGTTGGAAAGAATTCTTGAAATTCCGATTGTCTTACACGTGCGTTCTTTTTCTTCTTCCTCTTCTTCAGATACAAAAGTAAAAGATTATACCCATCCATCCCGAACCAGCCATCCGAGGCTGGAGCTCACTTCATGTGCGAGCTAGCGAAAACGGTTCTAATGAAGGCTGGCGGCAGCAGCTCCACGTCGTTGTTCAACCCATCGTCCACTAGTCTGAACCATCACCGTCCTCACAGGGCTCTACACATGTGCGCTTTCCAGCTCGGCCTGTACGCGCTGGGACTTCACAATTGCGTGACGCCTAATTGGCTGAGTCGCACGTATTCGAGCCACGTCTCATGGATCACCGGTCAGGCTATGGAGATCGGATCGTCGGCGATCTGGTTCCTCATCGACAGCTGGGAGGGGCACTTGACGCCACCGGAAGCGGTCAGCATAGCGGACAAGTCCTCGAGAGGAAGCGACCGGAACATGGTGGTAGCGGCCGCGGAACTGGCATTGTCCTGTCTACCGTACGCCCACGCGTTGAATCCAAACGAGGTTCACAGAGCGCTTCTGCAGGCAAGCGATGTCCGCTCTCGTCTCGCTGTTGCACCCTCCCGTTTCCCGACTCTCTATCGTCGCCTCTCCTGTTTCAGTGCAAAGAACAGGGCGACGGGATGCTGGAGCAGGCCTGCATCACCGTGGAGAACACCGCGAAGGGCGGAGGCGTCTATCCGGAAGTGCTGTTCCAGGTTGCCAAGTATTGGTATGAATTATACGAGAAGGTGAGTAGATCGAGAACAAGCTCGAGCCACTAGCTATCAACGGTGTCATGAAATATTGATTAAAAGGCGGAGAACGACGGGGTGCAACAGGACGACATGACCCACGACCCTTTGCAGCTGGACATGAACAATGTCTTCATGGTGGAGCTGGAGCCTGGCCCGCCGGTGGACATGACGAACGGACAGATGATGCCTGGACCGGCCCAAGCCGTGGTCGTTACCAGCACTCAGCCACCTCCGCCACCATATTCCACCCTGCCAGCTATAAACACGCTGACAACTTCGTTAGGTAACTCGATCGCTGGCTCCGTGTAATACAAGTACACGATCGTGCTTTCCAGATTAGTTGATCTTGATCTCCGATTTCAGGACTCGGTATGCACACACCGTATCAATACTTAATACACCCTTACCACTCTGTCTCGACGTTCGATGGCTCCATGCCGCCGAACACGGTGACCCTGACACCGGCGCCGTCGCATATGCAACCGTATGCGTACCACGCGGCATTCCCGTCCCATCCGGGACACCCCCAGCATCCCCAACATCCCCAACATCCGCAGCATCCTCAACATCCGCAGCATCCTCAGCATCCACACCATCCCTCACAGACCGCGCAACCACAGTCTCTAGTGAGACCGCAACCTCAGTACTACACGCAGCCTCCGCTACCTCCACCCCCGCCGGGTGGTGCGGTACATCTGTTCCCAGTTAAGCAGCCCATGCCAGTTAATGTAAGCATTCTCTATCTTCGTTAATCGGTCTACGGATTTTTTACAGTGACGTGATATCGTTGAATTTATTCCAAGTTTGCATCGATACTTGGGAGAACGAACTCAGCTATACGAGACCACCGCGAGGACTCGCGAGGAGAGTGCAACACACCTTGGTTTCACCTATATCGTTGAGACTTTGTAAACTTATGGTGGCACGCGCTCTCGATCGATATTCGGATGTTCACGATGAAAATTTTATTTTGCTTTTTATATTGCTACGACATATTCTGGCGTAGAGAGCAGGCTCGGGAACACCAGCTGCCCAGAAACTTCATTGGAATACTGAACAAAAATCGTTTGTCGAGATACCATTCGACCGTTTCAACAAAAGTCGACGACCCGCGCAAGTCCTTGCACTCTCCTTGTCGGCGTCATCATTTTTCCCTCTTTATCCTTTAGTCTAACGTTCGAATATTTGTCGAAGGTTCATAGGCAGCAGACACAGCGGTACAGTCCACAGAAGCTCCGGGCCCTGGTCTCGGCCTATCGCGTAGGGATGCTCGCCTTGGAGACCCTAGCTCGCAGAGTGCACGACGACAGACCTCAAGCGAAATACGCGCGGAATCCACCTTACGGAGAGGACGTCAAGTGGCTGCTGCGAGTCTCGAAACGCCTTGGCACCCAATACCTTCATCACCTTTGCGTCTGCACCGTGAACAGCATTGTCAGCCCGTTCGTTCTACACGACGTTGTGCTGGAAGCCGCGCATTATTTAGCTAGAAATAATCATGCCCTCGTGCTACAGCATCTTAGATCGGCTTTCCTCGCGCCTCTCGTTCACAAATGCCAACAAATGTTAGTATCGTTTCTCTTCCGGCGTCCATCGGGGGACGCCTCTGTCTCTCTTCTGTTCTCTGTTCGTCTCTTAACTGGATCGACATTGTTTCCGACGCAGGTACATCCAGTGCATGCATCAAAAGTTGTACCATTTGGTGGCTGGCGACTACGAGGAGTTCGCCAACGTCGTCTGCGCTGCTAGGGCAGCGTTTCACATCACTCCCGAAGGACCTGTTCAGTTCAAGGAGTGGCTACAGTCTATCAAAAGGTAAATTCGTTGGACGGTTCTGCGACGACCCTTCGTATCACCAGACACGCGATTCTCGCACACGAATATCGTTATATTTCAAATAATATTTGTGAAATAATGTCATTTCAATGATGATTCCAGGTCCGATAGCTAATAGATACCTCAGTATTGTACCATACATAGTTATTTTAATCGATGTCCAAGGGATCGAAATCGATCCAGTAGTTGAAACGGTATTCGTTTGACAAAAATAAACGCTTTCAAAAGGACCCTGAACATTGTTATTACCAAATGCGTCGATGGTGCGCATAGGACCAAGTACGATTAGCATCCAAGTGGCAAAGATTAATGATATCGTTTCTCGTAGAACTCAGTCGTGCAACAAAGAGCTGTGGGCACAAATAAACGCGGCGTTGCAGCAGAATGGCAAATGACACAGAACGGAGCCAGGCGAGATGTGGCTCAATTCCCTTCCGCATCTTCCACCACCGCCACCACCTCCAGCAACAACGACTACGGCAACCCTGGTTCTTCAGCACCCCTGTCATTCTTGTACGCACGACAAGGTCCAGGATTTCCACAACGACGCGCATCGCCGGCACACGACAACGACCCAGGCCGCGTCTCGTACGAGCGCCGGACTTGGTCGAGGTACGGTCGACAATCGCGTTCGCATAATCTTCGCCGGCGGAAACGGAGGGAAGGAGATGATCGATCCGAATCGGCAGTCCCAGTCGCAGCCGCAGCCGCAGCCGCAGCCGCAGCCGCAGCTACAGCTACAGCCGCAGCCGCAGCTACAGCTACAGCCGCAGTCGCAACCGCAGCCGTAGCAGCGGTAGCAGCAACGCATAATTCTGATCTTAGTTATTAAATGTGTCCGGAAAGATAAAAAAAGAACACGACTCACTGTAATTGTAACTGTAATTAAACGACGATACGCGAATCGATGAGGGAAGGGGGAAAGGAACAGAGAAGAAAATGGAAACAAAAATAGAACCGAGAAAAGTATAGAGGATAGGAAAAGTTCGCGTCGGACAGTTGTCAGAGTTTTCCGCTTTTCGGATCTTTCACCGACAGTGGTTTTCCCGGGGGAGTGAGAATTATCGAGGGAGACGAGCGAAGGTATAAAAGGTAGCATATTATGTATCGTAGACGCGTCATGAAGGCACACAGACACCATCTCATCTTCTTTTCTTTTGCGCATAATAGAGAGACAGAGAGTACAGGAGAGAGAGAGAGAGAGAGAGAGAGAGAGAGAGAGAGAGAAAGAGAGAGCAGCGGCAACGTAATTGTAACAAAGATACAGAGACGCAAGAAACAACAAAAAGAATCAGAAAATGAAAAGAAAGAAGGAACGGGTCCGGGGAAAACAAAAAGAGACAGAGAGAGCGATGTATTATTATTATTATTATTATTATTATTATTATTATTATTATTATCATCATCATCATCATCATTATCATCACCACCACCAGCATCATCATCATCAAAAACATCATCATCACCATCATCATCGTTATTATTATTATTATGATTATTACTATTATTATGGTTATTATTATTATTATAATTATTATTATGAATTATTATTATTATTATTATTATTATTATTATTATTATTATTAATTATTATTATTATTATTATGAATTATTATTATTATTATTATTGCGGGATGATCGATAAATCAAAATTGATTAGGGTTCCTCTCTCCGGACGTACACGCACGTTCGCACGAGATCAGCGTTGCAACTTGCGGCAGGGACAGAGACGAGGACCGACGACCGACGACCGACGACCGAGATAAGGAACAGAGTATAAAGGGCAGTACACACACATTTACATGCATGCTTCGCAGTCATATGTACGCACGCACGTACACAAGAAAGAATAACTTTCGCGGGAAGAATCATGGTACACATGGTGCGGTAATCGTTTCTGTTTTAGTTTAAGACTTCGAAACACGTGTTTAGCTGCGGTTAGATAGGAAATGTTATTTTTCATTCTCATAGATAGGATGAATTCTTGCGTCTTATTTTACATTTGTAAACAAGATAAACAAATTTTAAATATAGATAACGAACGTATATTTATATATAACGACGATATTAAAGTCAGATCCAATACGATAAGTGATACAATTACGTAAATATTTCTCGTGGTCAACGAACAATTTTGATAGTAAAGATGAAACGTTTTTACTTTTTCCTTTCACCCGAAGATAAAAACGAAGGAGGATAGAAAGAAACAAAAAAAAACAAAACTAGAACGGCCACAGACCTCACGAACCGAAATCACTTTTCTCCCCTTTTTCTCTCTCGTTTAATTTTGCTATTGATTATACAACTTTGTTTTCCTAATTAGTCTTTTTTTGTCTTCTTTATTTTTCATTAATCTTTTTTTGTATCATCATCATCATCATTATTATTATTATTATTATTATTATTATTATTATTATTATTATTATTATTATTATTATTATTATTATTATTACTACTACTATTATTATTATTATTACTATTATTATAACGATTATCATTATCATCATTACAATCGTAGGCGTATATATTATACACGTTCGCAAAACAATATTCTCTCGTTTCTTGTCGTCACCGACAATCCGTAAACGAAATGATCTCTGTAATGTTTAAATTAAAATAATTTGAAATATAAATAAAGCAAAATTATATAGCTGATGTTACCACCTTCGAACTTGAGCCATCCACGCCCACACAATTTCGCGAGCCATCGTCCGGTTGAAAAAGAAAATTGTAAACTGCGAACACGCGCGATGCAGAAAATACATGGTCATTCTCTATTTGGTTCTTATCGTCTCGATCGTTGTTCGTTCCGTTTAATTCTGTTTCGTTTCGTATCGTTTCGTATCAATCGATACCGCGCCGTTTGTTTTCCAACAGGCAAACGCGCTCTCGTTGCGTTCCGTTTTAGGCGACGTTCATCGAACGACACAGTTTGGAAGAGAAGCACGAGAGAATCGACATCAGAAATGTCACGGAAATGTCACGCTAGGATACGATCTTGGGTCCCCTGAATTTCGATCGCTGGATCGATCGATATTCTAGACAGCGATCGCGTTCGATGCGGTAAGACGGCATGCAACAAGCGGACGAAAGCGATCGTCAAAAATAGCCGCACTGCCACTAATTTACGACACCGCGTATTCGGTCTTGGGGAGAGCAATATTAAAGATTACAGATTACAGATTACAGATTACAGATTACAGATTACAGATTACAGATTAAAGATTAAAGATAAACGCGTTCCGAAACGGTACCGCGATCGCATTCGCATCAGAGATACCCGTTTCACGCGTACTTTAAATACACCCGTGCACGTGTAATTAATACATTCGCGTCGCAATCCCGTGCACCTGTTCGTAGAACAGTGAGCAAGGTTTCGCGAAACCAGAAACATCGATCGACAAGTTGCAAATCGAACGAATCGATCCTACATATGTATACCGATCCATTAACTTTCCGTTTCGGTGGAAAAACGTATGCGTGTAAACGTTGCAATACTTCAAGGATATGGTATATTAATTACACGTATACACGTGTCGCCGTTTCCGTTTCCGTTTCCGTTTCCGTTTTGGAGATACATACCGGCGGACAACATCCATGGGCCGTAGAGTATATGGCTTCGCTCTAGAAATTCGTTGAAATCCAAATAAAATCTGATCGAGCGAAACTGCATATTCTTCGAAACTCGATTCGATCCTCCCGGTTCGTTCAGAGTTTAGAGGGAAACGATTTCATCGTGTTTTACTATCCCGCGATCGACCGATCAGCCGTCGGACGATCGAAATAAATGTTCTCGCTCGTAGCGTTCCGTACCACGGGGTGGTTCTCGGCTTTCGAGAAAAATCTGAAACGTTTCAAAACGTTCTCTCGTTTTCGGAATGGATTCCTTTTACAGCCGCCCCGTATGTACATAATATACATATATACTTATGACTACGAATACGAATACGAATATATCGATTAATAATTATCCGTAGCGGTAGAGGTCTGGCTAGCCTAGATAGGTTTAAGTTTAAGACGACGCGCGCCGATGATCCAGCGTTTTCCGGATCGAGGATCGTTGTTTCTCCATAAGTTGAAAGGATTCGGGCGAGGACGGGGAACAACGAACGACGAGGAAAGCTTGCTAAAAGATGAACGTAGAGAACCGCTAGATTTTCTTTCCGCTCGACGCGCGTTCTTTCGTCTTCCCTTCGATCGAAACGCTTTTCAGACCGGATCCGATCAATTTCGTTTCCGAAACAATCGCTCGCGTCGCGCGAATATTACGTATTATCCAACGATCTTTGAAGAAAACCGGGACGAGTAATTAAAAAGAGAGTATATCGGGCAGCGACGAAATATCTATATTTTTACACTCGATCGAGAAAAGAACCGAAGAAAATTTCGAGGAAAAAATGGACGGAGAGTGCGAGAGTGTGTGCGCGAGAGAGAAAGAGCGAACGAGCGTTCGTTTCCTTGGAATTTGCCAAGTATTTGGTCCCATGCGAATTAGATACCTCCCCCGAACTCCTAAAAATACACGCATGCGTTTATGCGAAAGAGAGATAGCATTCTTCTCGGAGACCCTATCGATGCTCTATCTACACGCCGATACGGGATGTTGCGAATGTTCTCCATCGGAAAGAATTGGCTGTTGAACGATAGCCGGTGGATAGAGCTTCGAAACGCCTGGTATGTATACTTCGAACGGCGATTAAAGACGCGATCGGTCCCGTTCGAGAAACGCTACGAGTCGCATCGCGATCCATCGATCACCCGTCTCTCTGCAGCGAAAGAGCGAGGTCGTCTCGAGTAACTTCCGGGCATCTGTCACCCAGTCACCCAGCGTACTTTTTCATCTTTTCCCGTTATCGATAATGAAACGCGTCGTTAAATATGGATGCGCGGAGGAGAGTGAGAAGAGAATGTTAAAGGGTTTTCGTCTCGTCTCGTCTCGTCTCGTCTCGTCTCGGGAGGTAGACGGTCTCGAGCCTAAACCGACTTGCCGATTTGTCGTTTCGCCGAGTTGCTGTTCGTAATTGCGATCGAAAATTCCGTCGAGTTCTATCGACCGCGACGGTACACCACGGAAACGATCTTTTTCGAGACGATCGGCGATCGAGATCCGGTCTCGTGGAAGACGGGCCACTCGATCCGCTATACTCGATTCAATCTAAATATCAATGTATCCATAGCGTCTACTAAATACGCGTCTCAATTTATAATTGCGTCCTTTGTCCGTTATCTTTCTATTGTATCGGATACGATAAAATACAAGTTTTGATTTCACTCTGGCCCAGTACGTTTGCCTCTCCAACCCGAAATATTCTTTCCTTCCCTTTCCTTCCCCTACCTACCTACCCTTTTCCCTTCCCCTTTCCCCTTTTCCCTTTCCCTGTTACCGTTGCCCTTACTTGTACTTAAGTTTCTTTTATTCCTCGTATATTCTGTGAGAACTTAGGCTCGAAATAAGCAAATTAAGACATTGCGTTGGAACACGTGATATTATTCCAACTATTTAGAGTGCATTCTATAGAGAATTTGCAACGATAGGATTCGCAGCAGTCGTGGCCGAGTGGTTAAGGCGTCTGACTAGAAATCAGATTCCCTCTGGGAGCGTAGGTTCGAGTCCTACCGACTGCGGTGTGCGGATCTTCGAGAGGGCGGGAGAGAGAGAGAGAGAGGAGAGAAAGAAAAGTAAAGTAGTAGTTAGGTTCTTCTTATTTTTATGGTTGTTTCATTTATTACCACAACATCTAACAAATCTCTTTCAATATTTTTATACTTGTATTCGACTCTGCTTAAACGTTTAGTGTGGTTCGAGACGAATATATCGACAATTAATGATAAAATATACTTTTTACCTTTGCGTTGACTTATACAGAAAAGAAGAAATCATTTTGCAGAATCAAAATATTCTCCTCCTGTCTAAAACGAAAAAAGCCTCAATCTGTAACGTATGATATAAAAAAAAAAGTCCATTGTGCGCCACTGAATTACTAAAATAACCGTTAACGTTTCAGTGTCTATTAATAAAAGCAACAAACAAGGAAAAAAGTTAAATTGTTAGAAATTCTGTTGAAAAATATGATGTCGACGTGCGCAAGTGTTTAAAGTACACCCCAAAATGATCAAAGTCATCCATCAATAGCAGAATATTAAAAAAAGAATTCATTATCAAGATACCGTGCGCGAAGATTTCAGCGCGCCTGTGGCGCCATCTAGCGTTACGGATTTTCGTGTAAATTTCCCTATATCGCAATGAGTAAGACAAGGACAGAGCTAGTGTGCGACAAGGACAGACTCGTGCCACCAACTTTTTAGCCGCGCTTCGAATTCCCTGGTACGAGATAGGGACACATGAAGAGATGGAGGTATCCGACAAGGACAAACTTATGCGTTTTTCGGTGCGAGAAAGAGACGCAGACAGAGCTTCTCGGCAGACCAGTGAAATCGACAGATAATTCGTTAATAACTCTCTTCTCGTAAACAATCGGCGAATATAATCGAACGTGGAATATAGAGCGAACATTCAGCTACTTTCCCATATAGTTTTTAATCAAATTACCTGTCTAATTGATTAGTTATTAACAGTTATTCAGACCCTTGTCATATGGAATAACCTCAAATAATTTGACAGTTACACAGTAAATAATTAATATCTAACATTCGAGGAATAATTTATGAACTTTTATGATTGAAGAATCTATAGATCGCAGTCTTGGCTACAATTTTAGTACAGTTTTGTGCATATTTAAATAATAATTAGTTAGTTATTAACGAGATTTTTGGAGGGGCATGGCGCATCTGATACTCGAAAGTATCAGAAGCCGTAACAAACAAAGTTAGTGGCACGTTTCAAGCTATTGCTGTCCTTGTCGCACTATCGGCATGTCCTTGTCTTACACACTACGGGCATTGGGGAAAGAGACATCCCGATGAAAAATTATTAATAATTAAATATCAAGGAATAATTTATAAACATTTGCAGTCGGAGAATGTAGTGCAGACTTTTACCAACTTTCACGTATATATTACGGTTTGATTATTTCACTATTTGGAAGGTTATTAACAATTTTCCACGATAAACTCTATAACATGACCTTAACAATTACGACAGGTTCACAATGAATAATTAATATTCGTACATATTCAGGCCACAATTTCTGCACTTTTATGATCGAAGAATATAGAATAAGGTCTTAGCTACATTCCTGGGGCCGTCTTGTGCTTATCTGATTGTNCAAGGACAGAGCTAGTGTGCGACAAGGACAGACTCGTGCCACCAACTTTTTAGCCGCGCTTCGAATTCCCTGGTACGAGATAGGGACACATGAAGAGATGGAGGTATCCGACAAGGACAAACTTATGCGTTTTTCGGTGCGAGAAAGAGACGCAGACAGAGCTTCTCGGCAGACCAGTGAAATCGACAGATAATTCGTTAATAACTCTCTTCTCGTAAACAATCGGCGAATATAATCGAACGTGGAATATAGAGCGAACATTCAGCTACTTTCCCATATAGTTTTTAATCAAATTACCTGTCTAATTGATTAGTTATTAACAGTTATTCAGACCCTTGTCATATGGAATAACCTCAAATAATTTGACAGTTACACAGTAAATAATTAATATCTAACATTCGAGGAATAATTTATGAACTTTTATGATTGAAGAATCTATAGATCGCAGTCTTGGCTACAATTTTAGTACAGTTTTGTGCATATTTAAATAATAATTAGTTAGTTATTAACGAGATTTTTGGAGGGGCATGGCGCATCTGATACTCGAAAGTATCAGAAGCCGTAACAAACAAAGTTAGTGGCACGTTTCAAGCTATTGCTGTCCTTGTCGCACTATCGGCATGTCCTTGTCTTACACACTACGGGCATTGGGGAAAGAGACATCCCGATGAAAAATTATTAATAATTAAATATCAAGGAATAATTTATAAACATTTGCAGTCGGAGAATGTAGTGCAGACTTTTACCAACTTTCACGTATATATTACGGTTTGATTATTTCACTATTTGGAAGGTTATTAACAATTTTCCACGATAAACTCTATAACATGACCTTAACAATTACGACAGGTTCACAATGAATAATTAATATTCGTACATATTCAGGCCACAATTTCTGCACTTTTATGATCGAAGAATATAGAATAAGGTCTTAGCTACATTCCTGGGGCCGTCTTGTGCTTATCTGATTGTTAATTAAATAGTAATTCACAATAGATGTGTATAAGAGACAGGAATAAGGTCTTAGCTACATTCCTGGGGCCGTCTTGTGCTTATCTGATTGTTAATTAAATAGTAATTCACAATTTTTCAACAAGATATCTATTTCCCTAATGCCCCTACAATGTGTAAGACAAAGAGGTGACGATGGTGCGACAAGAACAGCAATAGCTTGAAACTTGCCACTAACTTTGTTTGTTACGGCTCCGGATACTTTCGAATATCCGATGCGTCCTGCCTCTAACAATCGTTACTAACTAATTAGAAAACAAATATGCATAAAACTGTACTCAAACTGTAGCCAAATGTTCGATCTACATTCTTTAATCTTAAAAGTTAACAAATTACGCCTTGAAAGTTAGATATTAATCATACAATATCCAACTGTCGCAATTGTCGAGGTTATGTTTTAGACTTTGTCGTAGGAAATTGTTAATAACTTTCCAAGTTGTGTAATAATCGGACTATAAACTATACGTGAAAGTTGCTAAAAGTTTGCGCTACATTCATCGATTGCAAATGTTTATAAATTATTCCTCGATATTTAATTATTAACAATTTTTTATCGGGATGTCTCTTTCCCCAATGTCTACAATGTGTAAGACAAGGACGTGTCGACTGTGCGACAAGGAGAGCAATAGCTTGAAACGTGCCACTAACTTTGTTTGTTACGGCTCCTGATACTTTCGAGTATCAGATGCGCCATGCCCCTCCAAAAATCTCGTTAATAACTAACTAATTATTATTTAAATATGCACAAAACTGTACTAAAATTGTAGCCAAGACTTCGATCTAGATTCTTCAATCATAAAAGTTCATAAATTATTCCTCGAATGTTAGATATTAATTATTTACTGTGTAACTGTCAAATTATTTGAGGTTATTCCATATGACAAGGGTCTGAATAACTGTTAATAACTAATTAATTAGACAGGTAATTTGATTAAAAACTATATGGGAAAGTAGCTGAATGTTCGCTCTATATTCCATGTTCGATTATATTCGCCGATTGTTTACGAGAAGAGAGTTATTAACGAATTATCTGTCGATTTCACTGGTCTGCCGAGGAGCTCTGTCTGCGTCTCTTTCTCGCACCGAAAAACGCATAAGTTTGTCCTTGTCGGATACCTCCATCTCTTCATGTGTCCCTATCTCGTACCAGGGAATTCGAAGCGCGGCTAAAAAGTTGGTGGCACGAGTCTGTCCTTGTCGCACACTAGCTCTGTCCTTGTCTTACTCATTGCGATATAGGGAAATTTACNGATTGTTAGAGGCAGGACGCATCGGATATTCGAAAGTATCCGGAGCCGTAACAAACAAAGTTAGTGGCAAGTTTCAAGCTATTGCTGTTCTTGTCGCACCATCGTCACCTCTTTGTCTTACACATTGTAGGGGCATTAGGGAAATAGATATCTTGTTGAAAAATTGTGAATTACTATTTAATTAACAATCAGATAAGCACAAGACGGCCCCAGGAATGTAGCTAAGACCTTATTCTATATTCTTCGATCATAAAAGTGCAGAAATTGTGGCCTGAATATGTACGAATATTAATTATTCATTGTGAACCTGTCGTAATTGTTAAGGTCATGTTATAGAGTTTATCGTGGAAAATTGTTAATAACCTTCCAAATAGTGAAATAATCAAACCGTAATATATACGTGAAAGTTGGTAAAAGTCTGCACTACATTCTCCGACTGCAAATGTTTATAAATTATTCCTTGATATTTAATTATTAATAATTTTTCATCGGGATGTCTCTTTCCCCAATGCCCGTAGTGTGTAAGACAAGGACATGCCGATAGTGCGACAAGGACAGCAATAGCTTGAAACGTGCCACTAACTTTGTTTGTTACGGCTTCTGATACTTTCGAGTATCAGATGCGCCATGCCCCTCCAAAAATCTCGTTAATAACTAACTAATTATTATTTAAATATGCACAAAACTGTACTAAAATTGTAGCCAAGACTTCGATCTAGATTCTTCAATCATAAAAGTTCATAAATTATTCCTCGAATGTTAGATATTAATTATTTACTGTGTAACTGTCAAATTATTTGAGGTTATTCCATATGACAAGGGTCTGAATAACTGTTAATAACTAATTAATTAGACAGGTAATTTGATTAAAAACTATATGGGAAAGTAGCTGAATGTTCGCTCTATATTCCATGTTCGATTATATTCGCCGATTGTTTACGAGAAGAGAGTTATTAACGAATTATCTGTCGATTTCACTGGTCTGCCGAGGAGCTCTGTCTGCGTCTCTTTCTCGCACCGAAAAACGCATAAGTTTGTCCTTGTCGGATACCTCCATCTCTTCATGTGTCCCTATCTCGTACCAGGGAATTCGAAGCGCGGCTAAAAAGTTGGTGGCACGAGTCTGTCCTTGTCGCACACTAGCTCTGTCCTTGTCTTACTCATTGCGATATAGGGAAATTTACTCGAAAATTCAAAACGCTAGATGGCGCCACTGGCGCGCTGAAATTGCAGCGTACGGTCTTTCAACAATTAATTATTTAACAATATTCTACGATTGATTCATGCATATTGGAAATTTTTGACTATACTTTGAACTGTTGCGCACACTATTAATTGTTTTCCTTAGGCTTGTTTGTCACGCAGACAATTGTAACATACTTTTTAGGTCGTCCGTTTCACCGCTACGTATCGATAGTGTTCGGTGTCCACGCATAACTAGCGTATACATGCATTTTAGTCCATATTTAAGAGGAGCCTCATTATACATATATATATGTATTTTCTATGTTAAAATTTTTGAGAATATTTTAAGATTCACGACACATGACAACTAATTAAGTTGATTGAAACTGCATTTTAAATTGTTTTGTAAAAATACTCTGGTATTTATTATACGTTGTCTAGTCTATTCCATGATTTGTTTCTGGTCGGATCATAGCGATTGGTGAGTGGTAGACAGATATTTACCAGTAGACATTCGATCTGAAACTTCGATTCCGAAGCGTACTCACTGGTTTCTATTGAAAACGTATCGGTTACGAGGAATTTTCAAACAACGAATTATTTAAATTATGTCGAAAGTAAATACGTTATATAATTATTTTTCATCACCAAAAACTACGAATCAACCGGCTAATAAAACGGTCCAAGATGACAAATCTTCGACGCCGAAAAGGACAAAAGAACAAAGACACAAAGGTACATCAAGTTTCATACTTTATTTAGATTAATAATAAATAATACAATAAAAAAGATACACTTCGTGTTACACATATATGTTATGAACACATATTTAATTAGGTGATACGGAATTACAGCAATACAGGGAATACTTAAAAATATACTATTAATTCGTAGTGTAATCGGCTGTTTAATGAATACGCAATTTTCTATTTTCGTACGCACATCGTGACAAGAAAGAAATGAATTAGAATATCATTTTCAGCCTATCTAGATTTATAGGTAGGCTGAAAATGAAATGTATACATAGACACAGTGTTGCAAACATAAAGTGATTATTCTTATATACAGCCAAAACCCCCGGCAAAGGAAAGGAAAACAAGAATGGTGAAGGAAGAGATAGAAAAAGAGTTTACAAGGACGATCAGGAAGAGGAGAAAGATCGGGAAGAGCCGAGACAATTCAAGAAAAGAAGACTAATTATTCCAGATGTGGAATCTGGGGATGAATCTGGGGATGAATTTAAACCTGGTTAGCATAAAACTTTGATAATTTGAGTAATTTAATGAGAGAATTATTTTGAACCAAATCAATATAGATCCACAGGAGGAAACGGAGGAATCTGATTCTGGCTCGGAAGGACATCCTGAAAGCGAGCCAGAGACACAGAGCGAAGAAGAATCGCCAGTGGTAAAAAGATAAATAAACACATCTGCGAACAATTGTCTAAATTATTTAACACAAATTATATTTCAGAGGAAAAAAAAGCAGTCTAATATCAAGTCCAATCGTTCGGCTACTCTCAAGAAGTATGGGAAAGTGGTAAACGCAAGCTTGTTAATTGTTTTGGTTGATAAATCGCTTGAGAAATTTAGATGTCACTTTTGCAGGACAAAGTCGAGCCAAAACCGTCTCAGCCGTCTCGTGCTCAAGGCAATAATGTTGTGGATTCGTGGCCACATTTGAAGTATGGTTTCCTTCAGCCAAATAAAATGAAAGACATTAATAGAAAGTCTCCGGAAGATCCAGATTATGACCCCAAAACAGTCTACGTTCCTTTGGACTTTCTGAACCAGCAGACACCGGTAAATTGCATATAATGTAGACTACAGTATTATATACGTATATATCAAACATCTTAAAATCTCTCATTTTTACAGGCTATGAGGCAGTGGTGGGATTTAAAAAGCAAACACTTCGACTGTGTCCTTTTCTTTAAAGTAGGCAAATTTTATGAATTGTATCACATGGATGCTGTCACTGGTGTTAAAGAGCTTAATCTCACATTCATGCGTGTAAGTTCTTGGAGTAATCTCATTCCTCGAGTTGTCACGATATCCTGAAGCAAACAATTGTTTGTTCCAGGGCGAGTTTGCTCATTCTGGATTTCCTGAGATTGGATACGGTCGTTTCTCAGCGAGTCTTATAGAGAGAGGATACAAAGTTGCCAGGGTAGAACAAACAGAGAACCCAGAAATGATGACTCAACGTTGCAGCAAAAGTAGGGCACAAGAACAAATATTTTTTATTGCCCAACCGTGTAACAACATTTTATACATTTTTCAGTGACTAAGCCAACGAAATTCGACAAAGTTGTGAAAAGAGAAATCTGCCAAATAAGTTCAAAAGGTACAAGGGTGTATACTCCGCAGGATGTAGAAGCCTCGACGCCGAATTCAAATTATTTAATGTCGCTCGTTGAGAAATGTCCACCTGGGGCAAGCACATCTCATTACGGGGTATGTTTCTTGGACACCACAATTGGAGATTTTTATCTTGGCCAATTCGAAGATGATCGCTGCAGTTCTAGGATCTTAACGTTGCTTGCCCATTACCCACCGGTTCACGTAAGTATTATTTCTCATTTAGAGACAGATGGTTCGATTGAATTAATCAAGTACTTATTTGGCAGGTGGTATACGAGCGTGGTAATCTGTCCCAAAAGACACTACAAATTTTAAACAACACTTTGGCAGCGTGTATGAAGGAACCACTTCTGCGTGAGACTCAGTTCTGGTCAGCTTTGACTGTTTTAAAGGTACGTATAATATTTCATGTGCTTCGATTTTTGTTTATAATTAATGCTTGTTCTACAGAATCTTCACGAAGGTGAATACTTCAAACAAGCAGACTCTAGTTTCTCGTGGCCTCGAGGATTGCAACCGTATCTTAATCAAGGTAAACGCTTCATTTACAAATTATTTATTTTAATTGTCGACGTACTATGTATATTCTTTTTCTGTTTAGGTGATAGCTTAGGCTTGACTCCGGCGGATGACAAGGAATTAGCAGTACATGCTTTAGGTGGATGCGTGTACTTACTTAAGGACTACTTTCTGGAACAACAATTGTTGGCTCAAGGGCGATTTAAATCGTATATCCCGCCTGACTATTCGAAGGAGTCTTCAGGAGCATCCAAGTTTGCAAATAATATGGTGATTAATGTTCGACTAACTCGACACATATTTATGGTCTAATCTAAACAATCCCAATACTCTTTAATCAATAGGTTCTAGACGCCATATCGATCAATAATTTGAGAATCTTTGGAGACGGCTCTCTTATGAAAACACTGGATCGTTGTTGCACACCTTTCGGTAAAAGATTATTGCGCGAATGGATCTGCAGACCATCCTGTCGCAAAAATGTGATAATAGAACGGCAACAAGCCATACAGGAACTAATGGATCGTTCCGAAGCAGTGCAGACTGCTCGCAGCATCTTGGCTGGTCTTCCGGATCTTGAAAGACTGTTGAGCAAGTGGGTAAAATTTAAAAAGTCATTATCTCGAATATTTATATTTAATGCTGTATATATATATATATATATATTAAATATATAGAATTCACGCGCTTGGAAACCCAGCAAAAATGAACAACCATCCCGATGGCAGAGCAATTATGTTCGAGGGCCACACGTACTCCAAGAAACGAATCCTAGACTTCACCACCACTCTCAGCAGCTTCGAGGATGTCCTGAAAATAGTTGCTTTATTCGAAGGTACTGTGCACACTCGAGATTGGTGTCGTATGCTATTAGCACTTGTAGATTATTAAATATTTTTCATATTTTAGACTTCAACAGCCATTTAATAGGTTGCTGCACCAAAGTAGAGCCGAAGGGAGAATTTCCTTCGTTGAGAGAAACGTTGGATTACTTCAAGGTAATTAGAACTTCCGACCCATTAAACGAGGTACTATCTATACAATGTTGCAGACTGCGTTCGACCACGAAGCGGCAAAAAAGGAAGGCTGCATCGTGCCAAAGGAAGGAGTGGATGTTGAGTACGATTCCGTTCTGATGGAACTTGCACAAGTAAAGAAAGACGTAGAACGCTACCTTGAGAAACAGAAGCGACACTTTGGCGTGAAAGTCACGTTTCATGGGACCGATAAGAAGCGTTATCAGATCGAGATCCCGGATTCTCAGGTGAAGAAAGTTGGCTCCGGATTCGAGCTGATGTCTCAGAGGAAAGGATACAAACGCTACTACACTGCTGAGGCCAAGGTATTAAAACTGTCGATCAAGTTATTCATGAAACGTCGGTCGGTTCTAATCGAATTCAATTTCAGGAACTCTTGAGCCGACAAATAAACGCCGAGGAGCACAGAGACAAGGTACTGAAGGATTTGAACAGGAGGATATTTGCTCGATTCAGTGATAAGTATGATATGTGGAACACGGCTGTTTATAAGCTGTCTGTCTTGGATGTTCTTATTTCTCTGACAGAGTACGCTCTCAGTGGTGATATGTGTGTACCGGAAATTGGAGACGGTTCGAATGGACAAGTAATTACTTGCAGAATTTGCTCCATTTGAAAAGACATACTCTGCAACAACGAATATTTTTACATATATCTTTTCGCAGATTTATATCGATATGAAAGAAGGAAGACACCCGTGCATACCATCGGATAATTTCATTCCGAATGACACTGTACTGGCCGCTGACAACTCAACTTCTTTTATGCTACTCACAGGACCGAACATGGGTGGTAAATCCACACTGATGCGACAAGTAGCTCTCCTCACGATCATGGCCCAAATAGTATGAGTTTACCACAAGATCGATGATACACGATAATGGTTCTGGTATAAACAAGTGATTTTATTGTTTCAGGGATGCTATGTTCCTGCTAGTTCCTGTCGCTTAACGATAGTTGATCGTATTTTCACAAGGTTGGGAGCGAATGACGATATCCTAGCTGGGCAGAGTACCTTCCTGGTAGAACTGAGCGAAACTGCAATTATTTTGCAACATGCTACACCGCACTCATTGGTTCTGCTGGACGAACTGGGTAAGACTATCTCTTGGGGACTCAACGATGTATCAAATGACTATAATATTTTCTATATTTTTCAGGACGTGGCACATCGACGTACGACGGCACGGCAATTGCTGCTGCGGTGGTGGACGCATTAACAAAGATGAAATGTCGAACATTGTTCTCCACACACTATCATTCCCTGGTGGAAGATTACAAAAACAATAAGGACGTCACTTTGGCTCATATGGTATTTTCGTTGTGTTACACATTTGGTAAGATGTTACAGAAGGTTCTACGAATTTTTGAATTTTTTAAGGCTTGCATGGTGGAGAATGAGGAAGAGGACGAGGTGTCCCAAGAAACTGTAACATTTCTTTACAAGCTTAGCGAAGGTGCTTGCCCTAAATCGTACGGTTTCAACGCGGCCCGATTAGCCGGTGTTCCTGCTGTAATTACAAGCCGAGCACACGAGATCTCGAAGAGGATGGAATTGGAAATAAATCAGAAACGTGCGTTCCTTTCTCTGTGCAAAGCAGATGGCCCAGCGATTAGGGCCTTGATTGCTGCTTTGTAGAGATGCGTCTGAATAAATTGTGCCGAGAGATCTGCAGTGATTTCATGCGGGTGTACGCATGTTTTGAGTAATTTATAGGAAGGTTATGAATCTTTATGAAAAGTCTCAAGTTCCCTTGCATCTTGTAAACGTTTCACACAAGTATTGCATTTTCTGAATTTCTTTCCATGCATTTATATAGGTCGCAGCAGGGCTCTCTACATTGCGTTGTTTGATACGAATATATACACACGCTTGTTTTGATAATAAAATTCGTTCGAAAGATCTAGTTCTTATTGAGAGAGTTCTATAAACTCACTCGTTCCCTCTCGGATGTTTTTCACAGTAATTGAAACACGAGCTTGTTGCTTACAAAATTTTATTAAGTAATGCCAGAGTACAAAAGGGCTACTTATGACGAATACGATGCGATACAAACAATGCGATTTTACTCACACCAAACGTCGAAGAACAGAATTTGTATATCTCCGGGAAATTAGGAGAAAATGTGATGATAGAGTCCGAGTTTCTATGTATTTGTGTCTGAATGTCTGTGCCTGTGTGTATACTTTTGTATGCGAGCAAATAAGAGTGTAGCTGTGTAATAAATACAATTATAGCGTTGTATATAGTGAAACAAAGAAGAAGCAAGCTAGGGCCGGAAAAATCGACGCGTCTATGAAAGAACAGTTCTCGAGAGTTTCGACAGGATTTTCATTTTGCTATATACTCGTTTCTTCGAGCTGACCGCAAGGTGTGTCGTGTCGCGTGTGTGTGTGTGTGTGTGTGTGCGCGCGCGCGTGCAGTAGATAATAATCGATAAACAGATACTTTGTAATCATAACTCGTTACGATCGATAAAGTCCGGGGTAAGGAGTATCCAGCGTGTGTACCTTTCTACGTACGATTAGTAGAAATGAATAATTATATCCTCCCGTTTGAATGCGAAATCGCGTCTTCCACCTCTCCTTCTCGTCTTCTTATCGAATCAACGAAATTAACAGAAAACACGCAATGAAAAAAGAAAAGGAACCGTGCTATCTCTCTCATTCGCTCACCCTTTTTCTCTTTCTCTCTCTCTCTCTCTTTCTCCTTCTCCCACCCTCCTCTCTTTCTCGCCCACCTCCTAAATAGACACGCGACGCGACGACGTACATGCGGGCGAAAAAACCCAAAGAAACTATACATTCAAAAAGGCACAAAAATTAAGAAAGCACTTGACATGGGTTCTTTTTTCCTTTGTTTTCGTTTAATCGGTTACAAGGATCGTGTTTTTTTTATTTATTTTTGTTTGTTTGTCGAGTAACATATGCCTACTTCTAATGTACAATTCCGAGGTGTTCATCGAGCGTTATCTAAATAATTAATTATCCTGCGCGTGTGTCTGTCTGTCGAGCGCTCTCTTTTCCTTTCTTCTCTGGACGTTCGTACAGTTTCGAGTTCCTTTTTTATTCTCTATCGTCGAATTAAGCGCCCTGTGTAATTAGTAGTCTTACAGTCAAGAGGTTGGCCTTTTTACTTTAGCAACTTTTCTGTCTGTCTTTCTCTCTCCCTTGCCTCGCGTCGTTCAGTCCCTTTAGTCATTAATTATTCCTCATTAAGATAATGATCAAAGACGTGATCTTCGAATGTTTTCCAGTCTACCGTTAATCATCATGATCATTACCGTCGTCGTCATCATCATCATCATCATCATCATCATCATCATACACCGTGGAGATACAGTGTCGTGTCTCTTAAAAATTTGTCGAAAATAAACCATCGGCTCTGGCTACGCACACCACATATGAGGGGATGCTCTCGATCTCCATGGAAAGTAACTCTTGTGCAGAACACATACACTCCTCTGTATATCCCTTTTCCAATACTTTCCAACGAACAAAGGGGTGATAATGAAAGTACGATTACCCGTGCAACCCTCGTACGCACCTCAAAATTAATTACCCATTACCCCAGGACTAGGTCGATTCATGAATTCATGAATTTTTCCCATTCGTAATAGATTGCAGATCTTCATGCAAGATTACAAGAAAGCATTTGTATTATTAACCCCTTGTGCACTATAACAACGTGTCATCCACAAAACATAACTTATTAAATTCGGTTCTTTTAAGTGGAAATGAAGTTTAAGTTGACTGTTATAAAGATACAATAAATAGCAATTTTATTCGCATAGTGCAAAGGGTTGAATAGTATGGGAAATGTCAAGATCCACAATTGCAGTTGAAGTTGGGATACAATTTCGAGGAAATCGCTGAACGTGCGAGGATCAACGACGAAGAAGAAGGGTTGCGTAGCCAGAGTGAACCGTGTAAAATGAAATTCGAGCGTAGGACTCAATCGTGAATGGCGAACCTGTCTCTGTTCAGAAATCGATGTGATTTCGGGAATCGTAGCAGTATCCGGAATAGAAATTCTCACCTATATCTACGATTAGTTACTTTCTCCCTTAAATCCAGTGATTCGAAAGAACGAGCTCTGCCGTGTGTAGTACACAATACCTTAAGAGTTACGCATTTACAAAAACAGACTGCATGGGAAACAAAGATTCCATTCTAGGTGAATGATCTTTCGAACAGAACGACTATATGAATTCCGTCTTGCGCGATCAAGATCTAGGGTATCGATCCCCAAGGGATTTACTCTCTCTCTCTCTCTCTCTCTCTCTCTCTCTCTCTCTCGATCTTACTGCTTTCCCTCTTTCTCTCTCTGCTTTTCTTCCTCGTTCTACATCGGCGTCTTTCCGCTTGTTGGCCCTTCCAGTGTATTTGCGATTAGAATCATGATTTTACGAATCCTAGTCGTTCTACAAACAATTCAGAGACAAGATAAGAGCTCTTTTGCCCTTCCAGGACCTCGTTCAAGTATGTTTGCCGAATTTTCTGTACTCTTCGAGAGAAACCCGAAGATTTCATGGATATGGAAGTTGAACAGACTCTGAAGAATGGCTATAGGACATCTCTACAATTTAGTGTACTAGAATTCAGAAAACTTGTTAAGATAGCGGTAGAACCTTGTTTATCTAAACAGGGACTTCTGTCCTTTTCTGAACATCAAGAAGGAGAAGAAGAAAGAAGTACTTGGATAAACAAGGTTGTACCGTATCATCGCGAAGCGTACATTCTTATTTGCTTCTACACAGAGTGGTTCGGTTGAAGATAGCCATCTGCATTTAATAGTCTCGGTAGCTCCCCAATATTCCCTCCGATCGCTGCTTCAGCATCCGTTCAACCTCGGCCGATGAGACCTTCCAGTGGCAAACTATAGGCAGCTTCGCCGACCCGACAGGCAATTTTAGCGACCCGACAGCCATCCGAATGAACGCTCCCAGGGCTGTCTCCCTCTGCAAGGGTGTAAAAGGGTTCGCAGAGTCACGGGCTCGACGGATCGTGAGTTTTGATTCGTTGGAAACCGAGGGGTGGATCCTCGGAGAGAGTGCTTGTACTGCGAAAGGGACACTGGAAGGGTGAACGGCGGTAAAGACGGACGCCGATGATCAGCTATCGTAGATCCCAGGTCGCAGCGGTTTTACCAGAGGCCGGATGAGTAGCCACCAGGTGGGACGCGTGCGCGACCGCCTCCGGATGCCTTTGCCGCGGGCGACGAATCCGCGGATTTCTCGCCGATGCTAGAGCTGGAGCTGGACGTCCCGTTTAGCACAGCCGTGGTAGGCCCGTTCTGCGATTCCGCGTACCCAGTCCCAGTCACCGGATTACCATCTGCGAAAAACACGGTCGTTCATTAGTATCGAAGTTCAGGGATTCGCGGGAATTCGCTTATATCTCTTTCGCGTTTTGGTCTTCTCGGAGGCCGAACCATGGAGAATCAGAGCCCGGAGACTGCTCGAACACTTTGGCGTCTTGGAATACTTTGGTAACGCTGGTCAGCAAAGTGTTCGACTTTGGATTCTACGCGTTCCAGAAGTTTAGGTAGATCGGAAAGATTACCACGTTTTACCACGATTTACACGGTTGAATTTGTTTTTAAGTAGCCAAGATTATCAACGTAAATAACGAACAAGAGTAATTCCCGCCTAGAATCGTTTGGCACAAAAGCTTGCAGTCTATTCAGAATTGTTTTCGGTCGTAGCATTTGTACAACGATCTTATCACAGGTAGATCATAGAGCCGTTTCGGAGATTGAGTTTATAGATTGTTTTTTTTTTCACAAGCTAAAATAGCAGTTTGGTATAGAAAAACACGGTGTCCGAGATCTTAGAACGCGTTCGACCTCCTCGAACGATTAAACGAGAAGAGTCGCTTTCGATCTCCGTGCGTCGACTTTTGCGTCCGATCCGGAGAGAAATCGGAAAGATTCGCTTCGTCACGCGGTAAAATGAATCGAAACCGTCGTTGGACGATGAAAAGAAGGGAACAGCCTACCCTTTCGCGTTAATTGCAGTCGAACGATTTGATTTCTATCAAGGTATAGGTTGATATTTTCCAACGCCGGCATGCAATAATTCTCGGGTCGAGCATAAAGACGCGCAGAAAATGCGGCGCGCGAACGAGTTTCACGGAAAAATGTGAAATCCGTGCGCGATCCGCCTAGTCGCGTTTTCCGTTGGTAGAGATTGGTATCCGATACGCGCTGCCGTTGAACAACGAGATATCTCACTGGCAAAATCCGCATGCTGACCGTTTCTCGAGTCCTCGATTTTTCTCGCCTCGTTTTAGCCGTTTCCTCCGCGAACAGATGTCGGCGATCGAAGGCGATCGATGGCGGCCGAGGGGGCCGAGGGGGCCGTGGGGCCCGAGGAGGAGATAGGCACTCGACGAATCGGTAATTTACTCGACAGGTAATTAAGCGTAAAATGGAAGGAGCAACCAGTCGGGTTCGAGATGCATTGATAAAAAGAAAAAAAAAGTTACGAAAGAGCTACTTCGAGGACTTAGGCTACGCAAGACAGGAAATACGTGTGTTTCTACCGTGTGTAGAAAAACGAACTTACCGTTCTGTTACCGTACTATATGTGTGCGTCGACTTACGAGCGACTTCGGAGAATTGCTCGAATCCTTGGATTCTCGAATCCCGACCGACCGTTCGTTTCCGCTCGAAACGATCCGGATTCGAGCAAGTCCCGGAACGATCGTGGCGGATCAGAGGGGATTCAGGATCGGAGGGGATTCAGGGTAGGAGGAGATTTCGTCGAAAGGAAAGACAATGTTGTTTCGCAGGCAAGAAAATCGATCGATCGATCGTGCACGCGAGGAAACGAAACGCTCGAAAGCATCTCGCTGTACAATCTGAAATCTCGAACACGCGAACTGGGAATTAACGGGATCGTTCGAAGAACGATCCACGAACTTTATCCGTAAGCGACACCGAACTCGTTTCGATTTTATAAAGTTTCCAATTTATTCGAGCATTTCTTACGATAGTTAGAGTTTCTTACGAGTTCGTAGAATCGTCCGATAAGAAACGAATACCGATTTAACCGCTGGAATAGTTAAGAACGCTCGCGTAATCGCTAAAGGAACAAATTCTCGAAAACGGAAGAGACCGTGAAACGGAACGAGACCACGGGAAATGAGCAGATCGAGGAAAGGGACGAGGGATACCGACGATTAGCGGGCGAGGGGGTAGGGGGTTATTTGGGGGTGGGGGTGCGAGGGATGGATGGCACGACGGCTCGGGGTGGCTGAAAGAAGATCGTTGGTCGGATATAAATGAGAGCAAAACTGGTGGCAGACGTTACCTCGACACCTTCGTGCGCTGCGCCTGATCGGCGTCACGTCAACTCCGTCGCCGGTGACCGGGTTGCGCGTTATGCAAGACGATCCACCTGCCGGGTGTGTTTTCGAGCGAGTAGGAAGGCACAGAGGACGGCAGATCACGGGCCGGTGCACGCAAAAGCGACACGCACCAGAATTCACCACCACCACCACCACCACCACCATCACCACCACCACAACCACCATCACCACCGTCATCATCATCATCATCATCATCATCATCATCATCATCATCATCATCATCATCATCATCATCATCAACATCATCATCACCAACCACCCCCATGCATCGAGAATCGCCGCAGCATACAAAAACACCCGCACAACCATGACCCAATCGTGTGTTAGTGCACGCGGCGGCTACTTGGACGAGCTGACCGAGACATCGCGTCTTTGTCTTCGGATTGCGGCTTTAGCATTCGACCAGACTATTACACGTTTGAATAGACGATCGTAATCTTAAACAATTTTTCTCCGTCGAATGATTTTAACGAGAACAATTTCACGATACTTTAGATTCTATTCTATGTATAATTTCGATAGAAAGTCGTCAAATCCGCGGTCCAATAACTTCTGCGATCACGATCGATAAAAGTAGTCGAAGAATCGAAGAACGATACAAATTGGTCTATGTTCGCTCCGATGCTCAAACATTTCAAATCTAAAGCAAAACGATAGCTATTCGAAAATTTGGATAACGAGTCCCCCGACGACTTTGCGAGTCAACGTTTTCCTGCGCGTCGAAGATTTAGCACAGTTTTTCGAGATTCGTTGCAATGGCCGATGTCTCGGACGCTGGTCGTGTAAAACAAAAAACGACTACGATAACTGGGATCGAAAACAAAGTGTTGCGCTGCGCTAGGAGTGTGCGGAGCGGGGCAAGCATAAGCGAACGCAAAAAACAGAAGGAAACGAACGATACGAGCCAATAGCGTGGTTCAAACGGAAGAAACAACGAAAACGAATTGGTCGCACGTCGACCGCGGCCACGAATTATCCAACGCTGATTAAATGGTACGTTAATAGACGTTTGTTACCAGAGATCGCGTGGTACGACCGCGTGACACGAATCAAATATTGCACATATGTATAAAGGTTTGGTATCCAGACGTCGAACGAAGAAGAAAATTTTGTCCGCGCACCGAGAGAAAGAGGTAGAGCGAGCGAGCGAGCAATAGAGAGAGGGAGAGGGAGAGAGAGAGAGAGAGAGAGAGAGAGAGAGAGAGAGAGAGAGAAGGGGAGGGTGAATCGTTGCAGCGATCACGAGCTGGATAACATCGAAGGTGAAAAAATTCGCTGAGACGGAAACCGTCGCGAATAATAGGACAAAATCGATCGACCGAAAACCTTCGCGGTCGCGCTTACAAGATTGCCGCTAAATACCCTTCGCGATTCCACGCGCCGAACCAAGCACGGTGAACAAATAATTAAAGAAACAGTGGCAAGGGATCGCTAAATAATACTAGTCGGAATTCTTGGGGATTCTGAACTATCGAGTGGTTCATCGGTCGGAGACGGGTAGGCTTTTATATCGAATTTGTTTTCAAATGTCCGCCATTCGACAAATTGGCATTAACGTTCGACTCGCTGTTCGATCGAGAGAAAGAAAGGCTATTTTGGGAAATATGTACATCCAAAATGCGAGTTTAAAATAAATGTATTTAAATTTGGAGCAGAAGATCGAGAAGTTTGCCCGTGTCCGATCGATTCGCGGAAGGTCGATCGTTTATAGTGGTAGTAGGTAGGTTCGCCGAATCGAGAATAGTGTGTCTGTTAATGTGTCGTGTGTAATCTACTAGATCGTGTCTCTTTGCACACTTACGAAATCGTTTGATTCTCCTGAAAGCTGCTTGCGAACAGTTCAAGAGGACAGACTTCGGTGAAAGCCATACATTTTGTTCGATTAGTTTTTCAACGGAACGAAAGAAAAACAGAAACAGAAACAGAAACAGAAACAGAAACAGAAACAAAAAGAAAAGGAAAAACGAGAGAGGGAGGGGGAGTTCCCTTTCGTTCGTGTCTCTCTAGCTCCAGAAAATGGTCGCGTGGTATTGCACGCGAGACCGAGGTGCGAGCGATCGAGTGCTGCGCGAAACGAGCAAAGGCGTAAGTAGGTCGACGATCGTCGTCGATGCCGTCGTTTACGCGAATCCCGAAGGAAGAGCCGGCGACACAGAGACACGGATTTCAAGGTACGCTCGGATACGGTGCGAGTCTCTGTCGGCTTCGAGAAGAAAATTTCGGTTTTTCTTAGGAATCTTGGGCGATTCGCGAGACTCTCGAATTCGTCGCTGCTTCGCTTTCGTGTTCAGCGACGCGTTCGAGCGGCGGGAACTTGTATAGAAGCGATACGAAAATCGAATTTTCTCGCACCGTACTCCGGGACATTATCCCGGGTTCGATAGACGGACGGAAACGATGAACAAAAGAAGGGGAACGAATAATAGAATAGAATAGAATAGAATAGAATAGAATAGAATAGAATAGAGTAGAATAGAATAGAATGGAATGGAATTGAGGAGAAAAGACAAGACGAGAAGAGAAGAGAAGAGAAGAGTAGAGCAGAGAAGACGAGAGAAGAGAAATCGCGTGGTAAGAGCTCGGGGTGAGTTAGTAGGCGTGAGAGAGATCGGCCTTACCTGTGATATCGTTGGTCAGGTTGTTGCCATTGCTGGCAGCGTATCCATTGAGGACGCCCGCGATCGAGTCCGAGCTGGCGGTGCTCTTCGCGGGCGACGTCGCGGCACCCGACGATGCCGACGAGGACGAAGAATCCCCGCTGAGGGAGATATTGCTGCGCATGTGATTTTTCGCGTTTGGGGTGGTGGATGGGGCATCGGGAGGGCCAAACAGGCGTTTGTATGAATCATTACCGGGCTTGTTGCGCGGTGTATCGTTGGAGCTGTTCTTGTTCGGACCATCGCCGAATAACGCGCTGCCGAGCTGCGACTGGTTGTGGTTCTTGACGCGTCGGGGGCTTGTTTCTTCCGGTGCTGCGCCAAAAATGTCGCTGCTGCCGCCACCAGGAGGTTTCAACACCCTGAAACAATCGCAAGTCGCGGTTACACGTTGGATCGATCCTCCTCCTCCTCCTCCTCTCGTTGATCCTACGTAAATTCTCTTATTTCGTTCGATCGCTTCGCACACGCGACTCTCCGTTGTCGCCGGAAAGAGAAGAGGGACCGGACCCCTAGCTCCCTCCGTAACGTCGCATAGAATTGCGGCCAAGGAATTCGTTCGTGCCGTATCGACGCCGAGAGGAAACGATCGAGAACCCCTGCACGATGCCCCAGCCGTGGCGGGACTCGATCCAATTTGCTCGATAAATCTGCGCTGATTTCGACGTAACGAGGCTCCCCCTCTCCCCCCCCCTCTCTCTCTCTCTCTCTCTCTCTCCCTCTCTTTACTCCTCTTACAGTCGTTTGGACTCGACAAGCACGAGCGGCACGCGACGAAGCGCGTGCCGAGATACGGAAGGGGACGAGTCGCCGGCAATTAAAACAGTGGAGGAGGAGGACGAACGGGTTACTCCTTCGACCGAAAACTTCGTGTTGGAGCTGAAAGCCCCGTGGTTTTTAAATGCAGCTTCGTTAGCAGCTGTTCAATTAGGGAGAACGCGAGGAATCCTCGGTGTGTTTTCTCCTTTCCCAGGATTCGGCAACGGAGTGACTCATGCTCCGATCGGGGGGGGGGGGGGGGGGGGC